TTTTAACAGAACATTTAGTTTATTATAATTATGGATACTTTTTATTCATTTCTACTGTCTTTTCATGTGTTCCTGCCCCTCAAGGGCTCAAGTGTGGCTAATACTCAATCTTCGATTTTCCATGTGTATTTTTCAGTCAAATGCTGCCTTTGCTGATAAGATTTTTTTTTTGGTTAGTGCTTTGAAGATATTATTCAATTTTTTCTAGATTCTTAAAGTAAACTCACCATCTCTTAAAATGTCTGTGATTTTTGAACACTGACAATATTTTGCTATTAAGGAGTCAACAAAATTTTTTTTTTTTTTTTTGGCAGAACTGGGGATTGAACTCAGGCCCTTGTGCTTGCCAGGGAAGCGCTTATTCCACTAAGCCATTTCCCTGGCCCCCAATCAACTAAATTTTTTGTGATAACATTTAAAAGAAGTCTAGCTTTTAGAAGTGCAAAGTAAAGTATTTATAGATGTACTGATATATGTATTTATTTTAAATAAGGAATTAGAGAAAATAGGAGAGTCTGAATAAAAGTGGCCTTTGGTTGTTGGTTACTAAAAGAAGTATATACTGGTTCTTTTCTTTTAATTTTAAAAAATCATTTATTTATTTATTTGATACCAAGTCACTGCTACACAGCTTGGCTCATAGTGATCCTCCTGTCTCAGCCTCCCAGCACTGGGATTACAGGCATGTGCCACAACACTGAGTCTTGGTGGCTGGTACGGTGCACTTGGGGTTCTGAGAATCAAACCTGGATCTTTACACTTGCCAGGCAGGTGCTCATACTGCTGAGCTATCTCTCCAGCCTGGTTCTTTGTTTTTATCTATCAACTTTTTATTTGCTTTGTGGTACTGGAGATCGAACCTGAGGCCTTCACAGTGAGGTATATCTATTCCTTTTAAAATTAAAAATTTTGAGGTAGGGTCTTGCTGAGTCCCTAAGTAGCCCAGGGTGAGTTTGGACTTGGATCTTCCTTCTGTGGCTTCCACTGTGCTGTGATTACATATATGTACTGCCACACCTGGCTCCAGCTTTTACATTTATTTGAAATTTTCCATGACTAAAAGATTAAAAAAAAAAAAAAAA